AGAAAGAGAACCTCTCTTTTCCAACAATTTCAGAAAAACCCTTGTTGGTTTCTCATTGGCCAGGCCTGGGTCATGCACCCGTATAGTCTGGGGTGTGGTCAGCTCCATCAAACCTATTGGCTAAGAATAGGTGTGGGCTAAAGAACAGAAGTGATATTACCAGAAGAAGAGAGAATGGTTGCTGGGCATACAATACCACTCAGATGGCCACTGTTACTAGCATAACCACATAATCGAATGTTCAAGACAGGACTCTTTTGAGAGTGAAAGAGGGCACTTTTAATATTTATATCAGGACAACAGGCTTAGACCAAGTCTAAGAGCCAGGGAGCTGGGGTTGGGTTGGGGACTGCCACACTGAGCCCTGGATCCTGCAAATCAAATCGTTTTGGCTCTCCTGCTCCCCAACATAAGAGGGAGAAGGCGCTTGGGGTTCAGAGGTCAAGTGGGATAGAGGGTGGCTGGTGTGTGTGTGTGAAAACACATTGGGAAGCAAGTCCTAATTCTATACAACCACTCACACTGTATTCTTCTCAAACAGCTTCACCCAGCCTCCCACGCCCATGTTTTGCTCTTGTTATGTCCTGTCCTCTTGCCAGAAATGTCCTTCCTGTACTCTTCATATTCCATAATGCTTCTCTAGTCCCCCACTCTCCCAGAGTCCCTTTACCTGCTCCCTCCATCCCAGCTTCTCACAGCTCCTGAAGTATTTCTAGATTCAACATGGGTTGTATGTCCTGCCTCCACCATGCAGTAGAGCTTTGTTGTGGGTTTTGCTTTCTCCCCATCCCCCTGCCACATAGCCCTCAATGCTGCTGACTGCAGATTCTAAGCTGGACCAGTCTGCTGGGTCAAGACCTTCAGCAGTCTCTATCCCCCCAGCCCAGAGCCGTCTCTGCTCCCTACTTTGTTTTCCTGGTATTGATCGCCAGGGAATCAGCCAAAGAGCTTCTCACGCAAAGGCATGCAAACTTTGACCCAGAATTGTCTATTCAGCTCCTGGCCAAGGTTCTCTAACCTCCTGCCTGTCTCCCTCTTTCTTTGCCCAGTGCTCCTGAGCACCCCCACCATCTGGGGAGCTGTTCTGTGGAGATAGGACTGGGTGAGAAGTGCAATGCTTTCCTTAACCCTCATTGCACCAGACTTATGTCCAGGAGTATGGGGAGATGGGAGCCCTGACCCAGGGGCTAAGGCTGTACCCCTTTGGCCTCCCAGTGTTTTGCTGGTACTCTGGGACAATAAATCATGGTGGGAAGAGCCCTGGCCTGGAAGCAAAGGCTAGAGCTCTGGACTCTGCTTTGATTTGCCATATATCCTTGGGCCTTCTCCTTCCGGTGTCAGTTTCTCCAGCTGAAAAGTGGGAAAGGAATTGGCTTAATTAGCTAATGAATTTATTTGGGATCAAGAGTCCCTTAAATGCCCTAGTCAGTTTGGCTCCGTGGATAGAACATCCGCCTGTGGACTGAAGGGTCCCAGGTTCGATTCCAGTCAAGGGCACATGCCCAGGTGTGCAGGAGGCAGCCGATCAGTGATTCTCTCTCATCATTGATGTTTCTATCTCTCTCTCCCTCTCCCTTCCCCTCTGAAATCAAGAAAAAAAAATATTTTAAAAAAGAGTCCCTTAGAGAATGTGAGCAAAACAATGCCTCTTCTATCAAACAAAGAGGTTTTTTGGATCCTTGGTCAGGAGCCTCAGCAGGTGGTCCTCTCATCCTGATGAGCAAGTTGTGATTCTCTAAAGCTTGGGAATTGGTGCGGACGCTAAGGAATCTGGGAGTGCCTTCCTCCCCACTTCCTTGTCACAGCTTCCATGCAGGTTCTTTCTCTTCTGTGGCTCTTGCTCCAACTGGGATTGAAGGGCAGAGCTTTCTTGGGTATCATCATGTTTTGTGGGCTGAGCCATAGATGTAGAGGAAGGGATGAATGGAACAATGCTGGATGAACTGGAAGCCCAGCAATAGTTCCTTTGTCTCCTGTCTGTTCTGTTGCCTAAATTCCACCATTATAGCATCAGTACTTTGGGCTCAGCATCACCCTGGTCATAATACAGTTGGATTTTTTGTTGTTAACCCTCAACCAAGGATATTTTTTCCATTGATTTTTTTTTTTTAAGATTCTTAAGTAAATCTTTATTGTTCAGATTATTACATTTGTTCCTCTTTTTTCCCCCCATAACTCCCCTCCTCCCAGTTCCCGCCCCACCATCGGCCCTCACTCCCCACCCACTGTCCTCATCCATAGGTGCACGATTTTTGTCCAGTCTCTTCCCGCATCTCCCACACCCCTTTCCCCCCCAAGAATAGTCAGTCCATTCCCTTTCTATGTCCCTGATTCTATTATGATCACAAGATTATTTATTCACTTGATTCTTAGATTCACTTGTTGATAGATGCATGTTTGTTGTTCATCCATTGATTTTTTTTAGAGAGAGTGGAAGGGGGAGAGAGAGAGAGAGAGAGAAACACCAATGTGAAAGAGATATCAATTGGTTGCCTCCTGAATGTACCTCGATAGGGGCCAGAGATGGAACCTGCAGCCAGGTGCATGTCCTTCACTGGGAATCGAACCCATGACCCTTCAGTGCAAGGGCAATGCTCTAACTTCTGAGCAGCACTGGCCAGGGCATAATACAGCTAGATTTAATTCCTTTACCAGTTATTAATATCTTGCAAGAAATTGGCTTATCAGATCAATTACCCACAGGTTGGCTTTCTGTGCTTGGGCATAGAGGAAGGAATGACAGGTTGGGTCGGAGTCATAGCAAGGGTCAAGTGTTCTGAGTATTACCATGGAGAAGCGCTGGAAACAGACCAGGGGACACCTAACTTGTTGTGGAGAGGATTCAGGGGGGCTTCCCAGAGGAAGTGGTGTTTAGTTGAGACTTAAACAAGAGGAAATTAGAAGTAGAGGTTGATAGGCCTGATAGGTTCTGCTAAAGATCCTGTTTGTACCCAGATGGGAGCTAATGAAGGGGCAAGGTGGTGATGGAATGAGATTTTGCATTTTTGAAAAGACCACTTTGGATTCGACAGGGTGGAAAAAGAATTGAGGGGAGTAAAAGGCAAATGGGAACTAGGTTTGGAGGCCATTAATACTCTGGGGAGCGATGATGAGGACCTACAGGACAATGTGGCAGCGGGGCTGGACAGATGTAGAGAAATGTGCCCTTGCCTATTCTCAGCATAGAAGCCAGAGTGACCTTCATTGACTCAGACTCTACAATGTCTCCGTCTCACACAGGAAGTTCCACTTTCTCAACAGCGTGCTCCCTGCACTTGGGGCAGGGATGTCCCATGAGCATCCCATCCCCTTGGGGGCACTAAATTTCAGCAGAACTTCCCAGTCACAAAACACTGTACATTTCCAGTGCCCATGGTACTGCCCCTCCCTCAAGAACCACTGTTCAGGGCCTTTGAACGTGCTGTTCCCTTTCCAAGGTGCGCTCTTCCTCCTGGTATCTGTGCACCTTGATTCTTGAGTCCACATTTCTCTCTCTGCCCAGTGTCATTTTCTCTGTGAGGACTTCTCTGACCACCCTATTTTCAACTGCATTCTGCCCCCGTGTGATTCCTACCCCTTCTCTGCTTTTTCTCTGTAGCATTTGTCACCCTCTGATATTCTCTGTGCTTATCTGCCCCCCTCCCGCCACCGAAATAGAATTTAAGTTCCATGTGAGCAGGAAGTTGTCAGTTTGTTCACTTGCACATCAATCGCCAGCACCCAGAACAGTACCTGGCTCACAGTAGGCGGTTGGTGAAATGTTTGTGCAATGCATTAAGTGGCATCTGGCGGAGTGGGAGGTCAGGGGCCAGGATGCGGCTGTTTTCTGGCCTGGGCCAGCACAGGGATGGTGGTGCCATTAGATGGGTAGGGGAGCATGGCTGGGCGGGGGAGGGGGGGAGGCGGTATTGTGATTAGTTGGGGACAGGTTGTGCCTGGACATTCCACATGGGAAGGATTCGGCAGGGGCCAAGGACAGCTTCGGAGGCAGCCAGACAGGCGAGCCGGGCAACGCTGGGGCTGCGTGTCCTGCTACAGGCGTGGGCCAAAAATACGGATACACGCAGGCGCCCGCCTGCAGGCAAAGGCCCAGCTCCGCACGCAAACCTGGGCCCTTTGCACCGCCCCACCTCCACATCCAATAGCACATCTGCCAGGCTCTGCCACTCCTCTCCCTCCACCCTGTAAGAGCCCGCCCCGGCTCCCCTTTCCCTGCTCGCGTGACTGTGCCGGGACCCCACCAGGGCAGCGACGATGAGCAGCTGGATGTCTGCGCGGGACTCCCAGGCTTTCTCACGCAACCGCCGGGCACCTCACCCCCGGCCAAGTGGGGCCGGGGGGGGGGGGGGGGGGGGGGATGGGCCACGTGACCTCTGCCCCCTGGAGGGAGGTTCCAGACACACGCACGCTAGCCTGGGGAGGTGTCTGTGCCCGGCGCCCCTAGCCTGGGGAGGTGTCTGTGCCCGGCGCCCCGTCCTCAGTCTCTTGGCCCATTCCCCTGCCCGGCCCCAGGGCCTCTCTCTAACCCCTTCCTCACCAACCGGGAGCTAGCCAAGCAGCCCCCCTCGCCGCCTGATTTTTCTGCCCGGCCAAAGCGCTAGCAACCCGGGAGCCGGGAGGGAACTTCGAGGGCGGGTGGGTCCCGGCGGGAGGTGGCCCCTAGAGGCGGTACCGAGTAACGTGTGAGCGCTCGGAGAGAACGCACGTTCTCCGTTCCCGCTCCCGGGGCAGGGAGCGCGGACCTTTTTGCTAGGTGCCGGGGCTCTGGGGACGCTGCGTGGGGGAAAGGGCAGCCCATCGGCGCCGCTGGCCTTCCGGCCCCGGTGACCTGGGAGCAGGGTCGCCGCGCTTCTCACGCGAGCCCGGACTCAGTAAACCGGGAAAAGGAGGTCACCACCCGGCAGCCCCGCCCCTGCTGGTTGGCCTCGGTCCGCTAGTAGTGAGGGGAGGCACTTACAGGTCCAGTGGGTACAAAAATGAGGGTGAGGCGTTCCCATGCCCTCTTTTCGGGCTGTGCTGGGACTTCTCCCCAAACCCCCGCCTCACCTGGGCTCTGCGCTGTCCAAGGGGTGCCTTGGAACTGGAGACCCCAGGTGTCCCCAGCCCTCACCCTTTTACGTGCCGGCACATGGAAGAGGCGTCCCCATAGTGGGTTCTTACCGGTCCCTGTGCCTCCGCTCCCCCACTTCCCATCCACCCTAGAGCGACTATTCCCCCTCAGGCCGCCCCTCCCTCAGTTGCATCCCTGAGCCAAGGGGCGTGGCCACGGGCAAGCTGCCTATAAAGTTGGTTGTGCCTTCACCCTCACCCTGAAGGTGACAGACAGTTGCTTGGAGCCTTCCTTGATCTTCTTTGGGGTCCTGGCTTCTGAGACAACTCTTCCCAGCTCAGTTCAGCACCTCCTCACAGCCACAGGTGAGTGCTGGGACTTCTGGCCTGCCCCTCCCTCCCAATAGAAGGAACATTTTAATGCCTCCAGGTCTTCCCAGGTAGTCACTGATCTAGCACCTCAAAAAAGGCTAGGAGTGGCCTTAGTGACTAAGCAGTCCAGCTCCCTAAAGGGGCAACTGAGGCCAAGGGAAGGGCAGAACTTGCTGAATGTCCCACAGCTAGTATCAGAACTCTAGATCCAGAAGGACCCCTTTCAGGCTCCAGGACCCAGACTCCAGCTTTATCCCCCAGTGGCTCTCTAAATGCCTGGGCCTTCCCCATCAGAGTCACCTGGTTATGTGGAATAAGAACACAGTTTACCTAAACTGGGTGCATATATAGCCTCTCCTCAGGTTGTGTGATGAGGAGGGCTTCTCCCTGGGTGGTGAGGGTGAATGGAGGGGGCAGGTTGTGTTCTTACCAGCTGTACCTGCCTTATCTAAAAGCTACCCCTGGCTGGCTCTACCCTCCCAAGGCATGGCTTGTCAGAGCCAAGATGTGCTGACTTGGACAAGAGATCTGAGCAAGAGTCCCGGGCACTGCCCAGAGGCCTTCCCTATCCCGTTGACTGTCTTCTCTGGCGTCTGTTGGGGAGCAGTGTGAGAGACTGTCAGCTTCAGGGAGCTTGACCACCAGTCCTTGGTAACTCACCCGTCACATATCTCTTGGGCTCTTACCATCTTACTAAGTATGGCTAGAGGTCCTTGGGGCACCCAATGTGTGCAAGGGGACACCATGGCATACCAAGGCCTAGCAGTGTTCCCAGTTCACTTAGGGAGCCAGGACTTTTGTATGTGTGCTTTGGGATCCAGCTCCTCCAGGAAGCCTCCCTACACAGACAGCTAAAGTACTTGAGGTAGGAACCATACAGCCAACCTCCCCGTCTTGAATGGCTCTCCAGTGAGAATTGAGCCCAACAAAGACTCTGGCCTAGATTTCTGTGACTGGGACCTTAATCTAACTGGTCTCCAAATGCTTTTAAATAGAGAGCTGGGGCTGAGAGCCATGTGGCTTAGGCAGTGGTCTTCTTATCCCCTGTTCCCTTCCCACTCTATTCCAGGGTCTGGCAGGATACCCTAGACCCTGGAGTTGAGCAGGAGAGAACTGAGGGTTCTGGGAACACTCTTCAAAGGGAGGTAGCTATGACAGGAGCTGAAAATCTCCCAGGGAACTTTGCTAAGAGGTCTGAATCCTAGCTCAGTCACTGGTTGCTGGGTAACTTTAGCCAAATCAGTGCACCCTCTGAAGATCAATTTCCCCAAAGGAGTGGATGATGCCTGGTTCTCCCCAATAGCAGTGTTTCCCTAAGTGTGGTGAGCATTACTCAAGGGCATTTAGGTGATGCATATCAATTATGTGTTTATTTTAACATATATTAGGGGGAAAATCAAACCTGTACTTTCACACAGATATGATTGTTTGGGATGATGGTAAGTGGGTAGATTTAAAGTTGATTTTAAAAAAATGTGAAGAAAATAATAGTGCAGGTGTATATGGAAATCACGAAGTGACGTTGGAAAGCGCTGTTTTAAACTGGTGCACAAATAAGAGAGGGTGTTCTGGAATTAAATAATTTGGGTTGGACATGTGGATCCAAAACTTCCTGGCTATGTGACCTTGAGCAAGTTACTTACCTTCTCTGAGCCTTACCTCAGCCTATCTCATAGGCTGTGGCCAGGACTGAATGAAGAATATGGAAATTCTTGGCACACAGTGGCAGCTCAATAGCTTCTCCCACCTCCTCCTCCCCTTCATGCTCAGTGAGCAGTTCTAGATAAGGTTTTCTCTTAATCAGCATGCTGATACTTTAGGACATGGGTTCCTCCTATGCCCCTATATGATGTCTTGATCTTTCCCTCCTGCCCACCTTTCAGTGGCCACCTTGCCATCTCTACGCTGATCATGCTTTCTGTATTTGGACTCTCCATCCCCATCTCGGCCACAGAACTTCTCCTGGCCTCCACCACCTTCTGCCTAGTATTCTGGATGTTCAGAGCCTGGAGGCCTGGGGTCCCCAAAGGCTTGAAGAGTCCTCCAGGGCCCTGGGGCTGGCCCCTGCTTGGACACATGCTGACCTTGGGGAAGAACCCACACCTGGCGCTGTCACGACTGAGCCAGCGTTATGGGGACGTGCTAGAGATCCGCATTGGCTGCACACCTGTGCTGGTGCTCAGTGGCCTGGACACCATCCGGCAGGCTCTGGTGCGGCAGGGCGACGATTTCAAGGGCCGGCCTGACCTCTACAGCTTCACCTTCATCTCTGGTGGACAGAGCATGACCTTTAACCCAGACTCTGGACCGGTGTGGGCTGCCCGCCGGCGTCTGGCCCAAAATGCCCTGAAGAGTTTCTCTATTGCTTCAGACCCGACTTCCTCATCTTCTTGCTACTTGGAGGAGCATGTGAGCAAGGAGGCTGAGGTCCTCATCAGCAAGTTCCAGGAGCTAATGGCAAGGGTTGGACACTTTGACCCCTACAGGTATGTAGTGGTGTCAGTGGCCAACGTCATATGTGCCATGTGCTTTGGTCAGCGTTATGACCATGATGATCAAGAGCTACTTAGTATAGTCAACCTGAGTAATGAGTTCGGGGAGGTGGCTGCTTCCGGAAACCCAGCTGACTTCCTCCCTATCCTCCGTTACCTGCCCAACTCTGCCCTGAGTATCTTCAAGGACGTGAATAAGAAGTTCTACATCTTCATGCAAAAGATGGTTAAGGAACACTATAAAACGTTTGAGAAGGTACAGACTGGGGAGAGGCAGGTGGGTGGTGAGGAGCAGGTAGGGTCAGGGGTCAGGTGGTCAGTGATAACTGGAGCAGCATGGGGTTTGGCAGACTCTCAGGGGCCTTCACCCTGGGATTTTGAAGTTAGTAATGGACAGGACTCCATCCATGGAGGGGAATAGAACGTTTTCTTGACCAGTCCTTTTATCCTTCTAACAGACAGCAATATTTACTGAATAGCCAGTCCATGCTGTACCCTAGGCCAGTTATAGGGACTAGGAAGAATTAAAAAGTTAGTCTCCTGGCCTCATGGGAGAGAAAAGGGTAAAGAGGCCTGGCCAGTGTAGTTCAGTGGTTGACCGTTGACCTATGAACCAGGAAGTCATTGTTTGATTCCCGGTGAAGGCACATGACCAAGTTGTGGGTTTGATCCCCTGTGGGGGGGTGTACAGGAGGCAGCCATTCAATGGTTCTCTCTCATCATTGATGTTTCTATCTCTCCCTTTCCCTTCCTCTCTGAAATCAATAGATACATACAAGGGTAAAGAGCACGTCCAGATGATAATGGTATCAGACTCTGTCTGTCAGGTTTCTCTTGAGTTGGGGCAGGAGAGAGCCTTGGTCAGGCAGAGAGAAGCTGGGATGGCAGCCTTGGGTGTGTGAGTGGGGGTGTCATCTCTTGAACAAAGATACTAGGGATAGTAAGAGACCAGATCTGGATGGAGAGGTAAGTCTGGGTTTGGGATCTTGCTCACCCGTGGGCCTTCTGTGCTCAGGGCCACATCCGAGACATCACAGACAGCCTGATCAAACATTGTCAGGACAAGAAGCTGGATAAGAACGCCAATATCCAGCTGTCAGATGAGAAGATCGTTAGTGTCGTCTTGGACCTCTTTGGAGCTGGTATGAGCTACCCCATTTGCCTTTCCTGTACTCAACTGCCCCACCCCATCAACCACCAAGCTTCTCCCTCTGTTCTTTTCTGGCCAGGGTTTGACACAGTCACAACTGCCATCTCTTGGAGCCTCATGTACCTGGTGACAAGCCCCGGTGTGCAGAGAAAGATCCAGGAGGAGCTCGGTAGGTGGTGACCTCCTTCAAAGTGCTCAGTGCAGGGGACCCAGCCGTGGTATGGGAGGCATCTTCATCTGTCCGTCCGCTGTGCCCCGCAGACACAGTGGTTGGCAGGGCACGGCAGCCACAGCTCTCTGACAGGCCCCAGCTGCCCTATCTGGAAGCCTTCATCCTGGAGACCTTCCGACACTCCTCCTTTGTCCCCTTCACCATCCCCCACAGGTGAGGCCCCATGGAACTTCTACCTGATACTGGGCCTTACTCAGTCCATGCACTTGATCAGGGCTGGTGGGAGGGACATGGTATGGGGGGTAGAGGGATCTCATTGTGGCCCTGAGCTTAACTGAGCTTCTTCCCTCCCCAGTACTACCAGAGACACAAATTTGAGTGGCTTTTACATCCCCAAGGGGCGTTGTGTCTTTGTGAACCAGTGGCAAATCAACCATGACCAGTAAGTTGAAACTCCACCCTCTTCTGAGTTTCAGACCCTGCTGTCCCTGGCCATTTGCCTATCCCCTACTCTTGTGGGCTGGGGTGCAACCTCCTGCTTCTGAGCTGCTTCTTCAGTTACTCGCTCTGATTACAGGAAACTGTGGGATGACCCATCTGAGTTCCGACCAGAACGTTTTCTCACCCCCAATGGCACTATCAACAAGGCACTGAGTGAGCAGGTGATTCTCTTTGGCCTTGGCAAGCGGAAGTGCATTGGTGAAAACATTGCCCGCTTCGAGGTCTTTCTCTTCCTGGCCATCATGCTGCAGCAGGTAGAATTCAGCATACCACCAGGCGTGAAGGTGGACATGACCCCCATCTATGGGCTGACCATGAAGCATGCCCACTGTGAGCACTTCCAGGTGCAGGTTCGCTCTTAGGTGGCTGAGAGCCCTGCAGAGCCTTGTACCTGTAAAAGCTACTCAGGCTTGTGTCTCTGGTGGTACTAACTTAATGTGATAGAAAAATTCATATCCACATATCTAGAAATGTGTAGGAAACATCTTCCTGAGCTAAATAAAGATATTATGCAGAAGTGGAGATTTTTGAATCTTGAATTAAACCATTGCTCATCTACATTCCCACCCTGCTCTCAATCTTGTGTCTAGTTTTACTGTAGGAGAAGAAAAGTAGGTGGATAGGAGGTAAAGCCACTCTTCCCAGGCAGCTCAAAATCTGGTTGGGGACAGAGCACACATTAATTAACAGCATTCTCTGGACCAGGCACTGGGGGGGTATAAAGTGAGTAAAACATGGCCCCTGCCTTTGAGCGCCTCCCAAGTTACTGACTCATAAACACATTATCCTACTCATTGTGATCAGGCAGATACATATAGGAGGGTGAGGTCCAGAGCCTTGGGGTGAGGGATGGTGGGAAAGATTACTGGGCTTTGGGGACAACTGTGAATAGTCTTCCTTGAAGGTAGTTTCCCTTGGGTAGATTCTGGTCAGTGTAGAGAGAGAGAGAGAGGTTCAAAAGTTGTGGTCTATTCCTCACTAGTCATATCTGGCTCAGGTCCTGCAGCCATATTAGAACCCAAGGCTAATCATAGATGGAGAACAAGGCCTTTGGTTGTCAGCCACATAAGCAGACTGTGGCCCAGATTTCTTTTTTTAAATATATTTTTATTGATTTCAGAGAGAAAGGGAGAGGGAGAGAGAGACAGAAACATCAATGATGAGAGAGAATCATCAATCAGCTGCCTCCTGTGTGCCTCCTACTGGGGATCGAGCCCACAACCAAGGTACATGCCCTTGACCGAAATCAAACCCGGGACCCTTCAGTCCACAGGCTCTATCCACTGAGCTAGAGATGCCCAATCATTCTTGTACTGATTTATTTTTTTACTTAAAAAATAACTTGTTTCCTGTGCTATAACACAGATGAGCCTGAGAACATCATGCTAAATGAAAGAAACCAGACACGCCGAAACCGGTTTGGCTCAGTGGATAGAGCGTCGGCCTGCGGACTGAAAGGTCCCAGGTTCGATTCCGGTCAAGGGCATGTACCTGGGTTGCGGGCACATCCCCAGTGGGAGATGTGCAGGAGGCAGCTGATTGATGTTTCTCTCTCATCGATGTTTCTAACTTTCTATCTCTCTCCCTTCCTCTCTGTGAAAAATCAATAAAATATATTTTAAAAAAAAGAAAGAAAGAAAGAAAGAAAGAAACCAGACACAAACGGCCACATATTATATAATTCCAGTTATATGAAATGTCCAGAACATGCAAATTCATAGAGACAGAAAGTACCTTAGTGGTTGCCAGGGGCCAGGGGATGGAATAAAGGAAGATACAAGGTTTCTTTTAAGAGTGATGGAAATATCCTGGAATTATATAATGGTGATGACTGTATAACCTTTTTATGCTATTTTTCAATTACAGTTTACATTCAATATTATTTTGTATTATTTTCAGGTGCACAGCATATACTAAAAACCACTGAATTATGCAGTTTAAACTAAAACACTAAAAAATGAAAGAGTTTGTCAACCTTTTTTCTAAAAAAAAAGTGAGAAAGGAATGGGGATAGTATATACACAATTTATGTAAAGTTCTCAATAATCATATTAGTAATAATATTAGTATTTCTATTTTGAGACTACATGGTAATTTAGGGTAAAATAAATGAGCAATTAATAATGAGGATATTCTAATTCATAATTCCCTGTATCCTTGAGAACCAGGATTTTTGGTATGGAAAAAAAGAGATACAGATATAATATAGAAAAGGTTAAGTTAAAAGGTATATATGTTGCCCGGCTGGTGTGGCTCAGTGGTTGAGAGTTGACCTATGAACAAGGAGGTCACAGTTCAATTCCCAGTGCGTGCCAAAGGCAGCCAACCAATAATTCTCTCTCATCATTGATGTTTCTATCTCTCTCTCTCTCTCCCTTTCTCTCTGGAATCAATAAAAAAATATTTTTTAAAAAGCATAAAAGGTATATATATAATGTATATGTATATTTCTAAGTGTTAGAAACAATGGCCAACTCATAGCAATGAGCATTCCTAATGCCTAGATTACCATCCAGGGTTTCTTGCAAGAGAAACACTGGTTACAGATATGGGGTAAGAAATGTAAAAGATGAGCTTAAAACAGTTGCACAAACCACAAAGCAAATATGCCACAATATGACCATAAGTGGATTAAGCCATTCAGGAGCCTATGGAAAAGGCTCCAACTGGCCAAAGATAGAACAATTCTGAGTGTCATAAAAATATTTCCACTGATTAAAACCCATCAAATATGTTTGAATCCATGAGCTCATAAAAAATCAGCTGATTACCTTCAGCAGAACCAACCTACTTATCTTGAAAAGTGAAAAACCAAGGCAAAAAGCAAGCATTTATTCTACCTTTTCTTTTTTTTTCTTTGATTAGTTAAATCTTTATTGTTCAGATTATTACATTTGTTCCTCTTTTTCCCCCCCATAATTCCCCTCCACCCAGTTCCCACCCCACCCTCCGCCCTCACTCCCTCCCCCCCCCCCTGCACTGTCCTCATCCATAGGTGCATGATTTTTGTCCAGTCTCTTCCCGCATCCTCCTCACCCCTTTCCCCCTCAAGAATAGTCAGTCCACTCCCTTTCTATGCCCCTGATTCTATTATAATCACCAGTTCATTCTGTTCATCAGATTCTTTATTCACTTGATTTTCAGATTCACTTGTTGATAGATGTGTATTTGTTGCTCATAATTTGTATCTTTACCTTTTTCTTCTTCTTCCTCTTCTTAAAGGATACCTTTCAGCATTTCATATAATACTGGTTTGGTGGTGATGAACTCCTTTAGCTTTTTCTTATCTGTGAAGCTCTTTATCTGACCTTCAATTCTGAATGATAGCTTTGCTGGATAAAGTAGTCTTGGTTGTAGGTTCTTGGCATTCATCACTTTGAATATTTCTTGCCACTCACTTCTGGCCTGCAAAGTTTCTGTTGAGAAGTCAGCTGACAGTCGTATGGGTACTCCCTTGTAGGTAACTGACTGTTTTTCTCTTGCTGCTTTTAAGATTCTCTCTTTGTCTTTTGCTCTTGGCATTTTAATTATGATGTGTCTTGGTGTGGTCCTCTTTGGATTCCTTTTGTTTGGGGTTCTCTGCGCTTCCTGGACTTGTAAGTCTATTTCTTTCACCAGGTAGGGGAAGTTTTCTGTCATTATTTCTTCAAATAGGTTTTCAATATCTTGCTCTCTCTCATCTTCTGGCACCCCTATAATTCTGATGTTGGTACACTTGAAGCTGTCCCAGAGGCTCCTTACACTGTCTTCGTATGTTTGGATTTTTTCATTTTGCTTTTCCGGTTGGGTGTTTTTTGCTTCTTCGCATTTCAAATCGTTGACTTGATTCTTGCGATCCTCTGGTCTGCTGTTGGGAGTCTATATAATATTCTTTATTTCAGTCAGTGTATGCTTAATTTCTAGTTGGTCCTTTATCACAACCTCGAGGGTCTCATTAGATTTCTTGTAGGTCTCATTAAGTTTATCAGCAGTTTCTAGAAAATTCTTGAAAAACCTTAAAAGTGTGGTTTTGAACTCTATATCCAGTAGTTTGCTTTCCTCCATTTCTGTCATTTGTGTCCTTTTTCTTTGTCTCTGCATTTTTTATGCTTCCCTGTGTTGATACAGTGGTTTTCTGTGCTAAGTGTCCTCTAGGGCCCAGTGGTTCAGCCTCTCCAGTTACTTGAGGAGGACACTCTTGGTGCACCCCCTTGTGGTCTTTGTGCACAGTCTTGTTGTAGTTAAGCCTTGATTGTTGTAGCTATCACTGGGAGGAATTGACCTCCAGGCCAATTGACTGTGAGAATCAGCTGTGTCTGCAGTGGGAGAAGTTCTGTGCTGGAGACCCCCCTCCGGGGCAAGACTTGCTTCAGTGGGGCTTTGGTGCTCACTGAGTCTACCCCCTGAGTGTGTCCTATAAGGGTCCAAGGAGGTGCAAATTGGATGGTCCCACTCTGACCACTGGGCACACTCACTCCTGGTTCTCTAGGGAGGTGCTAATCTAGCCTTTGCCTGAGGCTACCCAGCAAAAGCCTCCCTGCAGGGCTCGGGCGGGGCAGGTCTCACAGGATCAACAGGGTGGGGCTAGCAGTTATGGCTGCTCTCAGTCCTGCCCTCAGAGGCTCTGCTTCTCAATGTCCCAGTAATCGCTGCAAGCCCCTCGGAGAGAAAGCTGCCCTCGAGTTCTGACCATTTTTAGTGTACAGTTCAGTGGTATTAAATACATTCACAATATTATGCAATGGTCACTAACATCCATCACTATAGCACTGAAACTCTATACCCACTAACAATAACTCTTTATTCCCCTCCCCACATAGATTCTGCCTCTATGATAGTGGCTTTATTTTGTTTTATCATGTTCTCAAAATAACCCTGTATGAGAAAAAGAACTGAGAACAAAGTGGCCAATGAGTATCAGGCCAGCCTATAAAAATACTGAGGTCTAGCTGGGAGCATCAAATCAGTTCCAGAGATTAGGGTCTGTTCTTTCTCAGTCCTCTTTTTTGGTCAAGTACAAACAAAGGGAGGCCTCAGAACATTCATCCAGATTTTCATCATTGCCAGGATTTTGCTGACTAAGATCACTCTGCTGATTAAGAAGAGCATACACTTCTATAATTGACTGTAGTCTATAATTGAACCAGGGTTAATCTTTTCTTCTGTTGCGGGATGTTATTGGGCCATCTGTTGTGACAATGGCTACCCCACTAGTAGGACCCTACTTAAGATTCTAGACAGGCCATATTGGCCAATTGTAACTTAGAAAATTATCAGGATCAAAATGACTATTAGTATTTTGATAGGCCTGGAAGCCAAGGACCTACATTATTAAAACCCAGGCGATGAAAACATGTTCCAGAATTCATTTGGGCCTATTGTAGGGAGTCAGTGGCTTTTTATATTTTCCTTGTATTTATTTACATAGGTTCAGCAGGCATATTTGCTATAGCCCAGACTTCCCCTTGCTTGACCAAGAGGAAATCACAGACTGTATGATTGTCTGACAACTTTAGTCAATGAATTTAAACTAGCCTGTTGGG